GCCCACCTCAGGAAGCTGCTCCCCACACCAGCACCCTGGATGCTTTGGCTGCTCCAGCTGTGGCTAAATTTGCCCCAGGTGTGGATGGACATGCAACAAGCTGGAAGATACAAGCTGGAAGCCTTAGCAGTGTCCACAAGGTGTTAACTCTGGAGACTCAGAGAATGCCAGAGCTATGAAGGCTTGGGAGCCTCCACCCCAGTTTCAACAGATGTATGGAAAAGCCTGGGGACCCAGGAAGAGATCTATCATGGGGTGGAGTCACTTCAGATGGCCTTGCCTAGGGTATTGCCAAGCAGAAATGTGTAGGCGGTGTTGCAGCAGAGAATCCCCATGCATACATGAGCCAGGAGAACAGGAGACCATGATTGTCATGGAGACTCCAGACTTGTGGAGCTACCAGCATGCAACACCAGCCTGCAATAGCTGAAGCATTGCCAGAGACCAATAAAGCCATAGGAGTGGAGCTACCTGAGGACCTGGGGACCCAACCCCTACTCCAGTGTTCAGAGAACATTGATCATGGAGTCAAGGTACTAGGTTCTTCAGCTTTAAGATTTGATGTCTGCCCTGCTGGGTTTGGAACTTGCTTAGGACCTCTTGCCCCTTTCTACTGGCCTATTTCTCCTTTTCTGAAGGAGAATACCCACCCTACATTTGTCCCATCACTGTATCTTGGAAGTCAATAATTTGTTTCAATTTTACAGATGGGAATTTGGACTTTTGAGTGGGGACAAGTTAAGACATTGTAGCTTTGGGGATGAAATGAATGTATTTGTATGTAAAAAGGGCATAAGCTTTGGTGGGCCAGAGGCAGGATGTAGTGGATTGATGGCCCCCCAGATTCACTGAAGCTTCATCCCCACTGTAGCATTTGAGGGTGGGTAATCTTATTATGAAAATTGAAAGGTGGGGCCTTGAAGAGATGATTAGATTGTGAGGACCCTGCCATAGTGGATGATTTAATGGTGGTCATAGTCATGGTTCTGAGGGCTGTAAGAGGAGAGTGCATGAGGAGCTATCTTTCTCTTTGCTCTCTCTGCTTCTCTATTTCTGCCATGTTAGACCCCTGGGTCACTGTCACCACCAACAACGCCTTCACCAGATGTTTTCCCTGGACTCTGGACTTCCCAGTCTCTGACGCTATAAGCAATAAATTTCATTTTCTTATAAGTTACCCAGTTCCAGGTGGTTTTTTTTTTTTTTTTTCCTTTTTTTTGGTGTCTGGCAACGGATCGCAACCCTCAGTGTCGCGCCCATACCGGACCAGGACCGGCAACTGGATTGCAACCCTCGGTGTTGCGTCTGCACCTCGCTCAGCCAGTGAGCGGGAACCGGTCTGTATGTGGGATCCGAACCCTTGGCGGGAGCGTTGCCACGCTCCCAAGTGGTGCACTGTAGCAGTGCGCCACCAGGCCGGCCCCTCCAGGTATTTTGTTATAAGCAATAGAAACGGACTAACACAAGGTGTCAGCTCAGAAAGGGACTTTAATATATCAATGGTAAATATCATGGAGGCCCAAGTCATGTGTTCATGTAGCTTACTTCAAAAATTAAGGTCATCTCCAAAAGATGGCATGGTTTCACAGATATGGTATCATGGATCTATTCATATGTCTAAACTCATCAAATTGTATATCTTTTTTTTTTTTTCCTTTTTGTCTTTTTTCATGACCGGCAACGGATCGCAACCCTCAGTGTCGCGCCCATACCGGACCGGGACCGGCAACGGGATCGCAACCCTCGGTTTTGCTCCAACACCTCGTTCAGCCAGTGAGCGGCCGGTCTGTATGTGGGATCCGAACCCTCGGCGGGAGCGCCGCCGCGCTTCCCAAGCAGCGCACTGTAGCAGTGCGCCACCAGGCCGGCCCCTCAAATTGTATATCTTACATGTGTGCAGTTTTTTGTTTTGTTTATCAACCATACCTTTACAAAGCTTTTATAAATTAAGACCATGTCAGAAACTAAGAAGTGCTATGAAAATATATGAGATATGAATCAGGATAACAGAATAGAGATTGCCCATTGGGTGACCATGGAAGGCTGATCTGTCAAGGTGGCATTTCATGAGACCAGAATGAGATGGAACCAGCTATAGTTCTATGTCAGATTATGAAAATAGGGAAAAACATTCTAGAACAATTGAGCCCCTAGGTCAAATCGTATCTGAGGCCAGTAGGCCAGTTCTAATGGGATGGTATTAGAAGGTGGGGCACATTGGGAGGTAATTAGGCTTAGATGAGGTCATGAGGGTAGAGCTCCCATGATAGGATTAGCTTCCTTATAAAGAAAGAAAGAGACTACAGCTTCTTTCTCAGCCATGTGAGAATATATGGAGAAGATGGTCACCTATAAACCAGGGACAGAGCCCTCACCAGACACCTGATCCACCAGCACCTTGATCTTGGATTTCCCAGCCTCCAGAACCATGAGAAAAAACATTTGCTGTTTAAGCCACCTAGACTATAGTATTTTTGTTATAGCAGTCTGTACTAAGACAGATCCTAATAGAAATTCAACATATGCTGTGTGGAGTAGGGGTCCGGGTGAGAGAACTATTTTCTGTGAATCAACAAAAAATGGTTAATCATAACAATTTTAAGATTTGCATGGACCATGTAGTTGGCTATCCAGAAGCAATTTTCAATCCAGCTGTCCCTTGACTGCCTCCAACTGTAGAAGCTAAAAAGATCTAAATTTTCCCTTTTCCAACTTCCTCTTGTGACAAAAGAGTGTCTAAATGACCTGGTTCTGGACAATGAGATGCAAAGAGAAGGTTGCCGAGGGGACTCAGAAAGCTAATCCTCTCTCTAGGGTAAGAGAAAAACATAAGAAAGTTCACTCCCCAGTTGCCCTTCTTCCCGCCTTTAAAGTGATCTTGCTATTTAGAGCCCTTGAAATCATGAGGGGCTGAAGGAGAGACTCACAGAGAAGCTGAGTCAGAATCCCGACAGAGCTGAGCTGCAGAGACAGTACCAGCAACTGCATTCTTGACAACTTCTCCTTAGGTGAGAAAAATAACTCCTCATCTTTTAGGCCACTGGCATTGGCTTTTCCTTTATTTTGCAGTTTTTACTGGTGCTGACCATGTGGTTCATTTCATTGCTAAAATCTAGCAAAACCTAGAATAGGGACATTACCTAAAAAATTTACTGAGTAAACAAAATTAAAGTGCGTTGAAAACCATCATAAAAAGGTGGAACACAGCCATTTGCCTTGAGGATGTTGCTAAAGTGACCTCTACCCTGATGATGTCACTAAACTCACTAAAAGCCAGAAAACCAAAGAACCTACATCTTTGCCACTCTTGTTTTAAATTTTCAGGACAATCCTTCAGTTGAATGACAGAGGACAAAGAATAATTGAATTATTTATTGATTGAGAGGTTGTGATTGGTGAAACGTGTGTGTGTATTTTGCAGGTGACAGGATGATTACTAAATGCACACTGCACACATCATGAGTAGCAGGCATCATTTAGACAGGTTGCCATGCAATTTCCTAGCAAATTTTCCCAGAAAAGCTGCTATGTGTGCATGTGTGCATGTGTACATGTGTGCACGTGTGTGCTCACATGTGCTCAGAAGCGATTTGAAGCACCGGGATTGCATCAGCCTGGAGGCCATCACAGACAATGTGCACACACAAATGCATTTAAAAACATCGTAAAAATCGGTTATTATGTGAAATATTACACTTCCTGTGCTATTCCTCAAAACTATGACATTAATTAATAGGTTCAACCTGATAAAAAAAAACCGAACTAAAAAACCCTCAATAGGTAAAGTAAAGTGTACTAAAAAAAGGATGTAGTATGATGTGAAAATGTGAATAAAATACTTGAC